GACCGTGGGATAGAGGAGCCCGTGCTGGAGCAGGTTTGCTGGCAGGAGTTGTGACCCCAACGGGGACCCACGCTGGAGCAGTCTGTTCCTGAAGGACTGCACCCCATGGAAGGGACCCACGCTGGAGCAGTATGTGAAGAACTGCAGCCCATGGGAAGGACTCATGTTGGAGAAGTTCATGGAGGACTGTCTCCCGTGGGAGGGACCCCACGCTGGAGCAGGGGAAGAGTGTGAGGCGTCCTCCCCCTGAGGAGGAAGGAGCAGCAGAGACAACGTGTGATGAACTGACAGCAACCCTCATTCCCCATCCCCCTGTGCTGCTTGGGGGGAGGAGGTAGAGAAATTGGGAGCGAAGTTAAGTTTGGGAAGAAGGGAGGGGTGGGGGAAGATGTTTTAAGATTTAGTTTTTATTTCTCATTATCCTACTCTGATTTGATTGGTAATGAATTACGCTAATTTCCCCAAGTCGAATCTGTTTTGCCTGTGACGGTAATCGGTGAGTGATCTCCCTGTCATTATCTCAGCCCATGAGCCTCTTGTTATATTTTCTCTCCCCTCTCCAGTTGAGGGGAGTGATAGAGCGGCTTTGGTGGGCACCTGGCGTCTAGCCAGGGTCAACCCACCACGGCTTGCTGAGTGAAGTGTGAAGTTAGAAGATTTAAATCTTAATTTCGGGAGCTTAAATATGTTAAGACAACAATGAAACTTAGCCTACCAAGATACTGAAGCCAAAAGCATAAAATGACCATAAAAACAACCCTACGCTTTCTCAGATGATAGATTTAACAGACTTACAGAGCAGGTTTGGAAAAGGACTATAAATCCTTGTGCCTGAGAACATGAGCCAGCTGCTAAGGACTTGTCTACACAGTGAACAATTAACTTAAGGAGAACGGAATGTTACAGGGATAGTAGGATAAACATCATGTGGATGCTCTCATTAGTGTACTTGGTTGTATTGCCTGGGAAAGGAGTTGAGCCCCAAAGTCCATTTTTATACTAAAATAATTCTTGGTCATTCTGGGAATATATAACTGATAAAACTGCTCTGTATTGACAGACCTCAGATAGCTGGGGTTGGAGGTAAAGAAGGGGGTTAAAAGTGCTCCTTAGGGTGCTCCTCAGGGGTATGCGCTGTCTGTCCTTTCTGAGATGCAATGTTGAACTAGGTTTCAACCAGTGGAGATTATTCTTGTTTTCCTGGAGACAAAATTCATTGCTCTCGGCTAAGACGCAACCACAGATGTAATCTTGTAATTCATAAAAAGATGTAGTCTTGTAATTCTCAAGCTTGAGAAGTCAAAGGCAAACTTTTGAAAGTCATTCCTATTATTTCATGGTAATATGAAGACTTAGTGGAGGGGAAAGAAAAAAGTTGGCTTGTTGTATATATGCAACAAATGAATCCCAGAGGAGCTATCTCAGTAATTCCTGAAATAAAAAATTAGTTTTTAAGAGCTCCTACTTGTGTGTCAATCTGCAGGAATTTGGGAACATGAAAAGACATTAGATTCTGCCCTAGTTGCTTGCCAGGAATCAATAAAAGCTGAAGGTACTTGACTACAGTATAGTGAGGCCTAG